AAAAAAAAAAAAAAAAACTATTTGAACGAAAAAATCAATGATAAATAATTTTAATAAAAAATTAAACGGTTATTCCAATGAATTAGCCTCTATTAGGAAAAAAAATTACGTAGATCAACACTAGATATTCCATGGAATTGAAATTCCTTTTGAATTTTAATTGGAATAATCTTGATTCAGCGACCATTTTTTTTCTAATTGTTTGTTGTGGTTGAAATTTTTGTTCGAATATGAAGTTTTCGTTGAAGAAAATATTTCAATTATTGAAAAATTAAAAGTCATTGGAATAGTCAATATCCAACAACAATTCAAATGAAAAAAAAAAATCATTGGAATTTATTTAATGGATTGTCCATTGAATTATTGCAATTAAAATTTTATTATAATACATTTTCGTTGGAGATTCATATTATTATTGTAGCCAGCGCAAAACATACATTTCTTTTTGTACAAATTAATGTTTTATAAACTAAAGTATTATATATTATAAAACTTAACATACATAAAAAATACAACTTTTTATAATATAAGTATTTATTAATTTGTGTCACGAAAGGTCGACTCGCCTAACAGTTTAGCGGCATGTTTTGTTAGTGGTTTTAGCCTTATTAATTAATTACCTACTAGTATTATTACACATGTACAACATGAGTGTTGAGTTAATGAATATATGTGTAAAGTTATTTATGTCTAATACCAAACTTAACTTCAGAGCAAAAATAATATAAAAACAACATCACGAAGCATAGATTTTCGCCATGTCAACATCCGAAGCGTGAGAATCTACCACTTAAATTCAACACGTTTTGAATTAATATATATGGAGGGATAATACATCTTATCGACGTCAACACTAAAATGCTCAAACCTTTGAAAGATTCTTCTTTTAATGGCTTTCACTCATCCAAAGTCCTATATATCACTCCATTAAAGTCTACTCATTTAGTAATTTAGATCATAATATTATTATGAGAATATCCATCTTTTTTTTTTTGGTACATGGACCTTCCGGTTTCCGGATTCACAGGGGAACCGACTAATCCGGAATCGAGCCGGGTAGGACCACAAGAGCGGCAAAGCTCTCCCTCAAGAGTCAATATGGACGTGAGTCGAAATTAAGAATTAATCACTTTTTGCTTAAAAAATTATTAAATCTCTCAATGATAAATGCATTGACTTATTCCTCTACGTAGTCTATAATAATATTTCTTACTAATAAACAATTTAAAATAAAAAGATAAGAATAATATTAATTTCTTATAGAATATAAAAGTGCTTTTTGGATTTTGATTGACCTCACTTTATTTGCCACCTGTATTTCCCAACTAGTGCCTACAATCACTTTTTCTTGAGCCTTTCGTTTTTTTAGTGCTCCAACAATATGTGTTTTATAGAATTTTAGATATAGTAAATGGAGTTCTTTGTCAAAAAAATAGTTCCCCCACTTTGAGAAATTGTGTGCATAGGCCCACATAAATAGTATAATTCTTCGGAAAAATGCTATAATCTTGTCACGTAATGATTCTGTGAGGATTTTTAACTATTAAATATCTCTTCTTATATATTAATTCAAAATGTGTTGAGCCTAAGTGGCAGCTTCTCACGCTTCGAATGCTGACATGACGAAAATCTATGCTTCGTGATGTTGTTTTTATATTATTTTTGCTCTGGAGTTAGGTTTGGTATTAAATATCAATAACTTTCATCATATATTTCTTAACGTAACGACCATGTTGTACATGGGTATTGTACTAGTACAATTATTAATGAAAAATCCTCACGTAATCATTCTGTAACGGGATTGTAGCTTTTTCCCAATTCTTCATGGCTCAATAAAAATTAGTGATCATCTTAAATGCAATAAGTTGTGATGTTGGGTTTTCTATAAAGATTAAGAAAAGAAAAGAAGAAGAAGAATTATAATGCTTATATATGAACTTCTTGTTTATGGAATACCAAAATCAAATTTTCAGTGCTAGAAGAAGAAAATCAGAATTAAAAATTGGAAAACAAATCCATTGTTTTATGGCCTATATTTACATGTTTTGTGACATGATTTGAAGATCGGATCGGGTCGGTGAGCCAATTGGCCCGATCCATATCCAGCACATAATGGTCCCTTTAATATCACTAAGGATGGCACAAAACAAAGAAATGTAAAATTGACACAACACAAAACTTTTTGTAAAAGAAAAATAGAATAAAAAAGTTTGCCAAGTTCTACAGATCCCTTTAGTAATCCACAAGACTAGTTTTTAAATGAAACGAGTTGCGTGAGCTCTGTTGCATGTTTTGATACATGATGAGTTGAGTTTGACTTAGTCTCGTTAAGGTTCGTTAGGTTAATTGATAAATAGTTTTTTTTTATATTTTGATATAAAAAAATGTTTCTGTTGCTAGCTCGAAGTTTGAATTTCTTCGTGGCAATACCTTCAGTAACCTCAGCTTTACTAATTAGTAATTACTAAATTGGCTTCGGTGGAAGTCATATTGGAAGCAGCACTTGCTGCTGCAGAATAAACCAATTTAAAAATAGGATACTCAATCTAGTTGTAAAAATCACATTACTAGATGCATTGTGCATTATCTTC